TATTGTTTGATTCTTTCATCATTCTTGGGGTGTAGTGTGACGGCTCACTTCGACTAGCTACACTCTAATTCTTGTTTTACCGCTAATTTGAAATTATTTCATCATCCACAAGAGTGCATTGTATTTCTCAACTCAGACCCTGCCTTCCTGTCGGCAGAATAGAAGAAACGAGAGAATGCCCTAGGACGTGCAGCTCCTGCAAAACTGAACGTTCCTTCTTTGATCGGCATAAACGCCAGGTCTTTGTTGGGGAATTCGTGCTGTTTTTCAAGCTATGATGCCTACTCCAATAACGGTGTGCTCTGTGTACAAGAATCTTAGTTGAGTGCAGATAGTGAGGAACCACATACGTTCATAAAGCTATACCTGTGCGTCGAGGTCGAAATGCTGTGATGTTATAGATCCACAAGGTCACTGCCGACCTGAGGAGTTGTTCATTGGGAGAATGACATCGGTACGGGGTAAATTGGGTTACGCAGAACGAAGCGTGTAATCTCCAACAGTTGATTCGTAGTTTCATGATCAATGGTCAAACATTTTAACAGCCTGTTCTCATCTGTTGTTTTTCACGGTACTATCTCATTGTTTAACAACCATCTTTTATTACTCTCCGTCCTGGCCTAGCCATCATCATCCATGTTTCACTCTGATCCGTAAATTGTTGGATCTTGATAATCATTCTTTTGTGAGTTATGCTCAAGAGATCCTCGTAGATAACGTTCCTCCTCTTCAGTCTGTTTTGCTACGTCCACACTTTATCTAGGCCCAGCTTTCTGCTCGCTGCTGCAAGAATCATTATGTATATAAAGTTCTGCGTTCCATATCTAACCGCTCACTGATAAAGTGTCGAAGTTGCTACTGAGTGCCGAATAAAACATGCGTATTGTTTGTCTGCTTGTTTTTTGTTGTTGTTGTTTTCTCTGTCTCTGCTACGATTCTGAGTGTTTACTTTTGACTGAAAACTCAGGCACACCTGTCAATACAATACGGTGCAATTAAAAATACTAATCTAATTGAACGTCCTGATAAAATTTCACTGAACAGACATCCTATCCTCCTGCTTTGAGGCAACGTGTTTAATTCCCGGGGACAAGAAGTCCGCTCGGGATGGCAAGCAGCGTACAAAGCAATGTATTCTGGCTGTCACCTCTTCATTCGAATGCCACATCATCTCATCTTAGAATTCTTGTTTATCTAAAAAACAGATTGAAGAAGGGCAAGCAGACTTTTTAATCATGTCCTTGTTTGGATTTATTCGTGTGCGATGCGGTCATTTATCTTATCATTATCCTACTTGATCAAACCTATCATTATATGCGAGTACCTTCGCGGTTAGTTTATGGACACAGAATCTCAATAGCCAGCGGCAGCAGATAATCGAGTTTAGTTTCTCGTTATTTTCGCACCTGTCTATCTCAATGTTTTGTTTTTAACCTTTCAACAATGTTAGAAACGGTGGCCTTGAATTCTGGAAAAAGAGAGAACCAAACTTTGGTCAAATTACCGACGCGTTCGTCAAAATTCGATCCCCCCATGGATTACTGGTTTCGTGAGTTACACACAGTGTTCTGTTAAATTTATATTCCTCAGGATATTGTTGTTTTCTTTCGGAAAGTCAAGTTCTTTTGCATATCACGTGATACCGTCTCCTCAAAATCGATCGTGCTAATTGCTGTAGAATGAGATTTTCCAATCAAAACGATGAATCTAAAAGTTACCTCATAGCAATGCTCCTCCTGTGTATTGATTGGTTTCAGAAAACTTTTTTTGAGTTCTTATCATTCATCATACATTTTCGGGAACAAATCCTACAACTGGCAGGATGAATTTGCCAACAGATCATCCAAATTCGGAATCACTTTGANATCACTTTGATCCACTTTTCCCAATCCATCTCAGGCGGCATCACAAAATCGCATAACTCGTTCATTGATTGGATTTGTTTTGCACTCGGAAAGTTACTAAACCAACGGGTTGTAAACATAACATACTTTGTTTATCCACTATAAAATACAAGTATCGACTGGTTTCTTAGTCCGTTTGTATTCTGATGTTCTATACACATTCGGGCTTTTGGTATCATAGAAAGTTCACTTGCTGCGGTATCAGCCCGAGTACACTTTATCGGAAGAAACTATTTTTGTGTGATGAACAGCAGACGGCGTAAACCCCATCGTCAAGACGACCCACTGTTCACTGGTGGCCTAAGACCCTAAGACTTGGCATGGCCAACCACATACGGTTCCACCAGGTCAGGCGCGATATTGAACCGGACGACAGCAAAGCTCCCTACCACCAAAATTGGTGGCAGTGGTGGGGCTCGAGCCTTAGACCACAGGGTCCAAAGCACACTGATGACAGCAACTAAACCACTGTGCCACCTTTCATGGAAAGAAGTGTAGTACTTCAGCCAAAGATTGAAAAAAAGATTCACACCATGCCCATCCATGTTTGTTTCCTTTTTTCGTGATTTCGTATATATGGCACCATAAAATTTAGTGCGCTGATGTCCTGTCCCACCGTTATATTGAACTCGTCTGTGAATCTTAACCTTGACTTGGTCAAATCGATTCAATCCCGGGAAAGTGCCTAAAAGTTTGTGCACCTTCTGAATATCGAAAAAGAAGAAACCAGATGATTTGTTCTTTGGCGGTATCGCCATGTTTCATAAGTCAGTGATCACATCCCGGTCCTCCACCTCTATCACTGACCGTTTCCTACCAAACAATCTCGTACTCACCGTTATTAATTTTCGTCCTCAGNTATCTTGATAGTTCTGTTGACGTTAAGCTTGAGATATTATCTGTTCCCGTTCCATTGACTGCCGATAGGTTCTGCCCGCGGAATTCCAATAAATGACGTACTTAGTTTCAGTGTCAAATAGATCGTTTTTCTGATTTCTTTCTCTGCTGCTGGCAATTTTCCTCTAATGCCAGTTTTTACCGGAGTGTACACAATGAGCTGGTCTGGGTGTTTTTCCTCTGAGGTCCCCATCTTGCTACTTGCCCTTTGGTCAGGATATCGATGTGCCGAGTTTTCACGGCACGCGACCGATTCACCACACGATCTCTTATTCTCATTCTTACCTCAAAACTTTGCGTACGTACCGCTCACGACCAAATGTTTGAAGTGTTGGACGAGTATTCCGAATTGGTAGTTGCGATCTATCTCTTTCAGATCTAGTGTAAAAACAACTGCTGAGGCCTACCCGCATAGCATATTGACAATATGTTTGACTCAACACTCCACGTCCGGCTTTCAGTGATCACAAGGTCAATAGATCTGCGTCGCTGAGCACGAGAATCAGACAGTTGTACAGCACTTTCATGACTTTTCAATGGTATTTGGGACACTTAGATACGCCAAAGGAATGTTGGTTGTTTCAAACTCTGTGGTACATATTATTTTCTCCTCATCGTTTTTGTTACACAAATTGTGTGACGAATAGCAGACTGATGAACCCCATAGTCACAAAGAACTAATGTTCATTGATGAAAACCGATAACCCAAGCCCCAGGACTTGGATCGTTGAATCACATCAGGTGGCAGGGCTCGAACCTCGGGCCATCGTATCCAATGCACACTGATAACAGCGACTACACCAATGCATCACCACAACAGCTTGTGGGATGGAATGAACCGTACAGTCTTTAGAACCTAGTGTTCACCCATTCTACCGGCAATCTAAGCCTCGGGACTGACAAGAGAACCACAATGCTCCACTATTGACGGCGATTTCAACCACCTGAGCACTGCCACCAGTATTCGGATAAGCACAGACCGATTGGCGGTGCTGCAAAGGAAAGCTGGCGATCGTTCGTTTAACTACTTCTTCACCTATGTGCTAGCTGAACCGACATGTATTCAAGCAATTTGTCAGACCATCTTCACAATCGCTACTGCTCTCTGTGCCAACTAGAGTTTGAGAGTTCGGTGTTGATTACCCCCAACTGATGCTTTCACATTCTGGGATCATATATCGTAATGGATGTTGTGTGTACCTTAGTTCCAGACTGTAAAACTGTTATCTTTGTGCGGCTCTTGTCAATGATTGTGTTGTCCGTTTATGTTTAGTAATGGCACGGCTAACAGTCGTGCATAATAGAGAATACATTTTCTGCTCGATCCTAACAAAAGTTATCGAAGCACGGCAAAACCACCATTCTTGTCTTTTACAGTACTTGTCGTGCATAGCCCAATCTTCATTTTAATCCGTTTTTTGAAAACCACTTCCTTTTCGGCGCTTATTTAATCGCCAGAATTCATCTCCGCGTAACTTTTGCAACCCTAGACGTATTTAACGATGTAGCTCTGTTGCTTATGGTGGCGGCTGTCAATTCACTTTGCTGCAAACGCTGGTCTCGGTTTCGATATCATCCAAAAGTTCCCAGATCTCTGAGTGTTCTTTGTTCTTCTTTCTCTGTCTCCGTGGTACTGAAATCGCTAAGCGTTTATTCTATGCACATATTGCCACACTCTTTGCTTGAGTGAATCTAGTGAATTGCTGTGGGTGCAGTTTCATGCTTGCGGACTTCATTCATTACACTCAATTACTTCCTTTTGATAATAAGTAATAAATTAGTAACAGTCAGATCGAACTTCGGGGACAGAGAACCGATTGGAGAAAAAAATGACGTAATTTCGATGGTGGTTTCCCGAGTCCCGACTATTCGACCACCGTGGGTTTTAAGCAACAAACCTCCACCGTTTCAGTTGTGATTCATTTGCTTGTATGCAACTAAGCAGACCAGGTTGTGCATAATAAACACGTGTTGTATACTCATTTGTTGGAACAACTACCGCGACACTGTAATGTTTGATGGATCGAATTTCACATGAGGAACGACACGGAGGGTTTCGTTTATTCTCATGCTCTGCGTTTTGCTACCTTAATCATCTGGCCCTAGAATTACTCACATGGATGACATGCTGATTCCCATTGAATCAAGTCTGTGCGCGCAATTGCGTAAGGCAAAGATCGGATTTCGTGTTGGAGATCATCTACTGGTTCGGCCGGTTCGGTGAGTGTCACTTTCCCCTCGACTTTATCTAATTACTTGTCTGTTGCGCATGGTTAACCGCCGCTGTGTCCGTTCGATCGGTATGTTGTCTAGTTATTCTTTTTTTCTCGTTAACGTCTTTCGCACTGATCGAGTTGTCCCGACTGTAATCCCTCCGCGGACCGAAATGAAGGGACACGGTTGTGATCTAATTCAATTCTCTAAATCTATTTTCTTTTTTGCGAGAAACCTGTATTGCGTCAAAGTGTCCACACCCGATGCATCCTATTTGTTGAAAGTGTGAGAAAATCGAGCGTAGTGACTAAACAGGACTGGAAAGATCATAAGAAAACTCGAGTTTTTGCGATAAAGTTCTCGGTTTCTCATAAAAAGAACACCTAGTTTTAGTTACCTTATAGCTTACCCGATAACTTTTATGCGGCCAATAGAAGAAATGTCGCTGTTCGGCAGAGCGCAGTGCCGACCCAATAATTGAATTTGTGGCACTCCTGTCGATATTGCTAATTGGTGCAATGAATAACAAGTTGACATCTGTGGAGTATCAAAAACAATCTTTTCTTGTCGTGATCACATTATGGTTCTTCAGTGTGCTCGCATGACACTCATTTAGGGTGTAACCTTGCAATCGGTGTTCATCCACAGTGGAGATTAGCTCACCATCCCGCCTGTTCCACGGGCAGATTAGCTGAGTCCTACATTGTGCAAGAGAGATATTGGATAGTCATTGCGTTTTCATTATCTTGTTCCTTGGCGGTTTTATTTTGTCATGCTGTATGCGTTTCCCTTGTCTTACAATAGTGCTCTCGATTCCGAATCATTTCAGTACTGTGTTGCCGGATTCAAATCTGGCATTCATTCATGATTTTTCCGATCGTGCATCGACCACTATCGGGTAGCTGAATCTATCAATGTTCGTTATGACAGACTGGGTTCTCCTTTTTTGGTGAAATTTTGTTCCTATGACTTCCTTTAGCGGTTGTCATCTTGTAGGGATGGGCGATGGGTTGCTAGGTTACGCACAATAAGACAGACAAGGACCGAAGTTTTTAGTCTTTATGTTGGATTATCTGCTGCACGTTCGGGCTGAGAACATAAAAGTTGACACATTGATGATGTTTTTAATGACCCGAGTAATCCATCCACTGGTACTGTGGAAACGCCTCAGGAAGCAATCTGATGGTTCAATATGCACGTGAGAAAGAATCACAGTAGATATTATACTCTTTCACTGTGCATGTTTTTTCCTGATATCAAAGCGGAATTTCTGAATGAGCTTCAGGGTACAATGAGTCACCTTGACTCTGATGATTCATCCGGCGAATGATCGCCGATCCATCCACCAATCCACTGATTTTTATATATGGATTGTCGAGGTGGTTCGAAGAGTATGCATCGCATCACACCAGCAAATCATCGCATTTTCCTCTGAGATTAAACCAAGCGATAGTGCAGTATCAGACTTTTAGGTGTAAAATACGGCACAAAACCTCGTTCTCGTCTCCCCCACTTTGTTCTACATGCTGTTGTTGTACTTTGCTTTTAGCCCATCCAAATAATCCCATCACCAGCAAAAAGTTTCATTAGTTCTATAAAACCACAAGAACAGTCTCAGACTGAGGACAGTTGTCTATTTGAACGACTGACAGCAGGGGATGAATCGGGTTACACAGAACGAAGTGTAAAAGACCACTCAGGCCCAGTGATCGAACAGTCCAACGATATACTCCTATCTTCTGTTGCTACACTATTAAATAAACTGTTTCAGTGAGGGTTTCTTTGTTCACTTTTAAATGTTGTAAGAATCCGCCAACCGCTTGCTCTTACGCGTGCCAAACATACTACTCAACAATGTAGATAATAACTCGCAACACCAGTGATCGACAGTAAAATAATATGCAATAACTATCCAATACAAAGAGTTTCCAAATTTTTCACTGTTTCACATTTTTCTGGAGATACCGAAACGCTTTGCGCATAGATATAAAAATGGACGGCCTAGGTTATCAACTAGTTGTACAAAGTGCATGAAGATTTACAGATTCAACTGCTTGTATGAGATAAAAGCCACTTTTGTGACACTGTTATGTGATGATAGGTAAACCACATAGTAGCGAGGACCCAGTGTTCATTCATGGTGCACGAAACCCTTAACCTTGGGATTTGTATAGGCAATCCGCATAAGGCCCCACCAGCACAAGTGTGGCATTGGACCGGATGGCAGTAAAGCTGTTCACCACCAAAATCTGCATCAGCTGGTTGATTGGTTGGTCGGTATGGCCTCATTTATTTCAGTGTTTATTCCCGAATACATGGTTGTTTCGTTCTTTTCGGCTGGACGCTCGCAAAGTCCGACGCAAAATAGGACAAAGCGCTCAAGTATGTTAAGCTCATACCAGCCAGCTCATCAAAAACCTGGGGAATTACAGCGAAACTTGGCGGATAGGGAAGTGTAGAGAGATGGAGAAGACTGTGGCTATTGCTAAGAGTCGCAATCTTCTTCATTTCATTAGGAGTATGGACTAAAGGAAATTAGGCGTGAGGTGAATAAGGAATCTGATGGTACGCTGATTCATATCCAGCAACGCCGTCTTGAGCGATGTTCAGAACATTTAGGGCACAGTTCAGCTGGCCCCCGTCGACGGAAAACCTCCGACCTCACTCTAAGTGCGGAATTAATAGAGCAAGTGGATAAGTTTCGTTATTTGGGCCACTACATCTCACCCGGTGGACGCATCACGGATGAAGTGTCAGCTCGCATACAGAAGGCTCGGTGGCATTTGCCAGCTTGCGACATCCGGCTTTCTGTGAAGAGTCGAGTTTATGCCGCGGCAGCTCGCTGTCCACGCCGCATCGCACGAGTCTAATGGGGAAATCGGACGAGCCATGCTGAGCTTAGGCGTAGTGTCGCTAATCGCGATCGTCCACTGGAGAAAGTAGTCGACCTTCATAGATTACGTCGGTTGGGGCATGTGTTGCTCACGTCACGCCGAACAGTGTTTGCCAAGACAGTTAGGGGATGGAAAATGGTCAAGGGCGGTGAAACTTAGACTTGGCATGAGGGTCTGAAAACTCCGATCAGGAGACACACGGGTCTAGTTTCGCTTCCTGGATGTGAACCGCGGAATCAACGTAATCGGTTGTTAGAGACATTGATTGATATAGCTGAGTGTGGCAAACATTGGCGTTCGTCAATCCACTCATCATTCTTGCAATTCTAATCTGTATGAATTCTCTATTTTCCCTTCCACTTTGCTCGCAACATTCTAGTCTTCATTCTGCTCTTTTATCCAAATGGACAGCCAAATGACAACAACCAAAACCGGTGCACAAAGGGGCATGACTAATGGTGGTAAAAACTGAACTGAGACTCATTCTTTTTGTGTGCATATCCATCTACGGATGGATATGAATATCCTACCCTTCGCGGGTTTGCGGATTCCCCGACAAATACGTTACTCCGCACGACACGGACAGTGCGCGATTAACTCGCTACAAGCCTAATTGGACAAAAGGACCTATATATATCTCTTGTACAAGAAGGTTTATTTCTAGTAGCAGCTTGTGATCTCTAAGTATGAGTTGAAATATAAGTGCTAGAATTGTTAAAGGAACGATATGCTCAAGGTTCTGTTGGGTGAAGTGTGACAGCGAAGCGCAAGAATCAGCGTGGTTTTAAGCGCCCCTATTGTCCATATGGAAATGCACAAATGCGAAAATTGTTCATCAGGTTTGAGATCTTTTTCGCAGTCCTTGTTTGCTGAAACTAAGGTTAAAGGTATGTAACCTGAACATTAGTACAAGGAAGAATCTTGGATATGCAGAAGGTCGAGTAGCGGTTAGCTTTGTTTTTCGGCTTTTTTCAAGTGTTGGATTTACGCATTGTCATTTAACATAGATTAAGAATCAAAAGTCAGAGTGTGTTGAGGTGTTTTGAAGGGTGGAACGGCTAGTACTAACGGTCAGTCATTAACTGAGATGTAGCAAAACTACTAGTCCTAGTGTAAATAAGTTTGGCTTGCTACCATGTTCTTCGCATCGTTTTAATCGTTCTGAAACGAAACACAATTTGTTCTGTGTAACCGTCCCTCACCCCGCTGATTTTTCAATAGTGTTTCACTGAAATCTCTGCTCATTTTGAGCGGAATGTGCTAATTGAGGCAAAGGTCCATCAAGATCGTGATAAATCCGTTGCCCGCTTGTGCGCTTCAAGGAACTTGCTAATTCTGTTGATGAATTGATTTCTCGGATTCCTATATAAGAGCGAGCAGTTCGGTCTATTGTATCAAAAGGTCTGTTGAGGAAAGCGGTACGTGTTCCACTCGATTTAACCGCACACGTTCTAAATTGAGCTACCTTGGTGCGAAGCTACTGTGTGGTTGGTTTCTCTTAAGTTGCACTGTGTTCTCGTCAATCCCGCCTGAACATGGTAACCAATCGGACTTCTTGAATTTCAATTTTTAGTGTGGTGTTGGTCACATCGGCTAACTTTTGCATCAGCCCAGTGTGGAGGCACTTGTGTTGATTCCCCAAATAACCTCATGTTCGCTGATTTTCTCCTTAGCATATTTGAAAATCAACTTGTGGGCGAACTTGTCTTCGAAGGGACTGTGGTCAGTCCTTCCGAAACCGAATTGCAATCGGCAACAAAAGCTCTGATAGAACACGTCGCAGTCAAAGCAGATCGCGCTCGGAAGCGCCTAGAACATATAAAACAAGAAAATAACACTTTGCGAATCTTTGACGAATCATCGACCATCGGAATACGAGATAAATCTGAATTGGGCCGCGATGAATCGCCGGAAATCAAGAAGCCGCGCATGACGAACAGTGATGGTGGCTCAGATTCGGCAAAACGACGTCGGATGGAGGAATCCTCCGAGTTATTCGATCCGGAAGTTGTGCAACGTTATGCCGACTTCATGCTCCCTGTTGAATTCGACTCCACTGAGGTAGCGGGATCGACCCAAACGAACGTTATCGATGAGGAGCATATGAAAGACGCAGATCGATTCAAAAAAGGTAATTCATTTCTCTCTCCTATCCATTTTGAATAGAATCCATGCACACGTATGCAAGAGCAGCGTTTTTCGGTCGAAGTGTTTATTCATAATTTTGGGCAGATATTCCTTGGATTTAGGAGTTGGTGTGATTCCTACAGCCGTGCTTGTTTGATTAAGAAATAAGGTTTTAGTCAACTCCGCTAGGCCAACTACCGGTGCGTCCTCGACCCGGTCACGACCCCGGATGTTGCGAAAATATGGTCACGGAATGCATTGACTAGGGCCTCCTCATCTGAGGTTATTTCAGTCGCTCCATCAAATAGGGACATTTGGTGAGATGTAAAGGAGGACTATCTTCAGTTACCATCAAAGACGTCCATCGCTGCCCAT